TTGTCCAGTGATTGAGACTAGCTCTTTCTAAGGGGCCCAACTGAGTAGGTTAAACCTTCCCTATACACCTGAAGACGGAGACAGATCCAGTCTCCGAAACGTTGTGGTTTTTTGTCTTTTTATATACCGGACGATGGGTGAAGTCCAAAATAAGCCAAAAGAAGTACAGTATACACCATCGTCAGAATCCTTTCAAGTAAAAAAATTGTTTTTTTTAATTCGCTTAGTGGGGGGTAGAGTCCAACTGGGTCCACTCGGCACGGCGGCCACTGATTGGCCTATTGTAGCCTGCCCCGTGTGATTATGATGATGGAGAATTTGGTGGAATGAAGATTGGCAGGGGAAACCGAAGTACTCTGAGAAAACCCGCCCCAGCGCCACTTTGTCCACCACAAATTCCACTTGGCCAGACTCGGGATCAAACCCGGGCCGCCGCGGTGGGAAGCCAGCGACTAACCGCTTGAGCTATGGCGCGGCCAATCAATCAGTAACACACATTATAGATGTTTAAAAAGGTAAATCTATCCCTATAACAGGCAGTGGAGGCCCATAGGGTTATGAGACGTCGAGGCTCACACATTTTCTAGACAGTTGTCTCACAGATGGCGGTAAGGTTGTCAGCCTTACGCGCCGGCCGCCCTTTACCCCCCTCCCCCCAGGAAAATTCCTGGTACTCATTTCTGTTAGAGGCTGAGTCGACCCGAGGGCCAGAGTGAGGCTGGAAGGATTAGGTCAATCGAATAATCCATCTCATCGGGACTCGAACACGCGACCTTACGGCTTGTAGCATAGTGCCTCAACCAACTACGCTACCGCGTGCCCCATCCCTCATTATAGATGTTATTAACTAAAAAGCCTAGCAAATTAATAATATGGATATAGGCCCTTATAAAGGCGGTGTGTGTTCTGATTATGGGCTTTTGGGTTGTGACACCGTGTAGCCCTGCAGATGGATACAAAGGTTTTGGAGGAACATGCTGTCTCGAGCTTCACCACATTCGTTTCGACACCTTGAAGATGGAGACAGCATGTTCCTCCGAAACGTTGATATCCAGTCAGAATGCCACAATGAATGTAAGCAAACGTCACTTGGTTTGGTGCGTCCTGACGCTCTTGTGACGCCTCGTAAAGTTGATTAAGAAACGTTAAGACGCGGGGGATGTTTGTGATCTCTCTCACACTCGTGTCAGAGGAACCAAAACAGACTTGAACGGTATCGAACTCCAGTCCCTGCCTCCCACCGGATCGTCTGACCTTGCGCCTCCACAAGGCAGAGAGCACGAAGTGGCTATTTCTGGAAAATATGGGTCCCCAGCAGCCAAGTACACTCACCTCGAAACAAAGTGACTACAGGAGTTTAATACACTCTGTCTCCTAGGTCTGGGCGAAGGGATAGCTCAGACAATATAGTGACAGGCTAGGGGCTGCACACCTGAGCAAACTGAATTTCATTCCCACCAGAGGCAAGCGATTTTTCTCTTCTTCATAGCGTCCACACCGGTTCTGGGGCCCACCCAAGCCTCCCATCCAATGAGTACGGGGGTAAAGCGACTGGGGCGTGAAGCTGACCGCTCACCTCCAACTAGTGCCCAGGTCAAGAATGGTGGGACTGTACCTCCCAATCTTTTATACGCCTTCATGGCGTAATGCCCAGTTAGTTAAGCACAGGGATAACTTTAACCACGCCTCTTACCTTTCTCCCTTCTCCAGTTTTTGAAGGGTCGATTAAACACGAGAATATCGTCACGCAGTTCTGTGTACGTGTGGCCCGCGTACACTGCTCACTACACTGCCACTTCACAGGCGCGTCAGCGCTGCTGCACATCTACACGTATTTACATCGCACCCGAACTGCGTGCGTTGTAGCATTGCAACAAGGAAGAGTTGCTCATTTTATTGAGCAAAATTCTCATATCGCCACTCTATCTAAAGACGAAGCATATTATTATTATTATTATTATATGTATGTAAGTTTAGAAGGTAAAGCTATCGTTATAACAGGCCGTGGAGGCCCATAGGGTTGTGAGATGTCGAGGGTCCCACATTTTCTAGACAATCGGCTCACAGATGGCGGTGAGGTTGTCAGCCTTACGCGCTGGTTGGCCGCCCTTACACCCCAGGAAGATTCCTGGTACTCATTTCTGTTAGAGGCTGTGTCGACCCCAGGGCCACAATAAGGCCGGAAGAATTAGGTTGAGGGAAAATTCCAATGACCTTATCGGAAATCGAACCGATGACCTTCTGGCTTGTGCCTCAACGAACTACGCTACCGCGTGTCCGGCATGTGTGTATGAATATTATCCTTTCTCGCCACATAATGGCATAACCATTGCAAATATACCTGTTTTGCTTTTGTCACCTGTTAATGACAACTGCTATCTTTCGTGGAATTATTATTATATATAAACCGCCTTATTTTATATTTGTGTTAAGTTTTTTGTTGTTTCTGTCTACGTACTCGTGATAACTTAGTAATTGGCCTCTGGGCTGTTAAGTTTGCACGTAAAAAGACAAGAACTGAACTGGATTATCATCCACATACTTGCATCGTGCGATGGTTGGCACAACTGCACTCGCTCGTTGTTTATTACTGTCTAAAGTGCACAAGATGCCCTGTTTTTCCTTTAGTTTGTGTGTATGTGTTCGTTTCCTTATTTTGCCCATGCTTATTCTGTAAATGATATCTGGGCTACTGAGTAAGCACTTAAATAAATAAAGTATTTAATTTAATTAGTGTCCCTTTTCCGTTTGAGACGTTCCAACAAATCCGTCGATGTACGAGGCTCCGTGTCACGTTACCTTAACTTGATACTTCTTACGACGATGGGTTCTTAGTCCCTCTGTCCAGCCCGGAGTTCCAGAAATATACCCACAGCTACTGGGGCGGGGGGGGGCACTATGCTACAAGCCGGAAGGTCGCGGGTTCCATTCCCCCCATATATGGAGGCTGCGCTGCTACCGTAAGATGCCGCGTGGAGCTTGCGGCCAAGCGATGGTCTGACTGCAGACAAGAACCGGAAGACATAACAGGGGGCATGGCCTAAGGAGAACTGGTAGTCAGAACGGAAGAAACTGACATAACGCAGAGACACTAACTCTATATCGAGTCGGGTCTTTCTTGAGAAGTCAGCTGCCGTTAATCTACTCAGTATTTTCGCAATATTTTGTGCAACCAGGTTTTATTATCGTGTTCATAAGAGCCCACCACTCGTTTGTATTCCTAGTCCGATGAATCCAATCCATACCCCCGTCTTATTTTTGTAATGTTAATTTTAATATTATCTTCCTACGTAGGTCTATGTCTTTGTAGTGGTCTATTTCCTTGTGGCTTTCCAACCAAGGCCCTGTATACATTCCTCTTCTCTCCTATGCGTACTGCATACCCTGCCCATTTCATCCTCCTTCGCCTGATCATTCTAATTATACTTGGAGAAGATTACAAGTTATGAAGCTCCTCATTATGCAGTTTTCTCCAGCCTCCTGTCACTTCGTCCCTCTTCGATCCAAATATTCTCCTCAGCACTGTTCCTCCCTTAATGTCAGAGACGAAGCCTCACCTCGCTGATGATGCTGCGGTAGCCGTCAGTGAGGTTGTAGTCCCAGCCGGAGTCGCACGCCCGCAGCGTCCAGTTCGTGCCTCTCCAGTCCGGCGTTCCATTGACAAGGCCGACTGTCGTGAGGTTGGTGTCGTAACGCGAGCACGAGGCGTCCTGCGGCGGGCTCCATATCCGGCGCACGTCCCCCCGGGGCAGGTGGGCCAGCTCGGGCAAGTGGCACCAGTACTCGGGCTTCACGAAGATGAAGAGCTGACCGAAATAGTCGAAAGTGGACAGAATGTTGATGACGGAGAAGAGCAGCATGAGAAGGTACTGGTAGCGCCCGAAGTCGCCGGCGTGGGCCAGCATCTTGTCCACGTCCATTGCGGAGCCTGTGCACAACAGACAGTGCCACATGAACAGCAGAGCAGGAGAGCGAGGAAGGAAAGGGGAATAGCTCCCGAAGTCGCCCGCGTGGGCCAGCATCTTGTCCACGTCCATTGCGGAGCCTGTGCACAACAGACAGTGCCACATGAACAGCAGAACAGGAGAGCGAGGAAGGAAAGGGGTGGAATGCAATAAGAATGGGAAGAAAGGAGGAAGAGTAGGGAAAGGGACGAATGGAGGGTGAAGGGAGGGACGAAGAAACCTAATAAATGAGGGAGGAAAAGTAGGTTAAAAACGGAGAAAGCGGCGAAGGGAGGAACAGGTGAAAGGAAGAAGGAAAAGAAGGTCAAAGAGAAATGGAGCTAGAAAAATACATGAAGCAGAAGAGGACCGATAAAAAGTGGAACATTACAAGGACGATAAGAGGACAGCTTGGGGAAACAGTAAGTGCGTGCAAAATATTTATGTTGGAACCGCGGGGAACGCGAAGGTGCTCAGGGCGTGGGAGGGTTGCACAATAAACCTGACTTGGAACTGCCCAGAATAGAGTCGAGCGTTTAGCATGACGGGACGATTATGGTCTGTTTCAGGACATACATGAAAGCCTAATGACAAAAGTCGGAAAGTCCTCTGTTACTAGGACCTGTACCCAGCAACTCCGAATGCAAGATGGACTCTGTTAGCACTACATCAACCTTCATAATAACTCCGTCAGTTGGTTGAGAGGTGTGATAGTAGATGCAAACGGGGTTTACATGCAGGAAGTGTTCCGAGGGATAAGATTTAATTGTCATTTGGTTCGCCAAACGAGTGACGAGAAGTGACGTCAAACACAAGCTATATAAATCAGCACTTGGTCGCGTCTAAAAATGAAGATTTTATAGCAATACGATTGCTGACTGTCGGGATATGACTATATGTGGTATGATATATGAGGTACTTGATACATGCATGGTACCCAACTACCAAACTACATGGCGTCACATCCAACAGGACTGCAATAACGGCCTCAAACCTTACATTACACATAATTAATTATTCCTCAGTCTGATAGAAGCCGTAACACTAAGACATTAAAGTCAAGCGCTTAGTGCAGACTTTCAGTGCTTTCAAGCTCTCAGTCTCGTCTGGTAATTTGCCACTGGCCCTCGCCAGCGCAATTATTATTGGTTTCGGGCCCAATTTTTCTGTCTCACGACTAAGTCGCGCTCTTAATGACGTAAGCTTGTCTAATATCCTTAACTGACAGTGGCAGTAATTCTGTAGGTGTACCTTTCGAATCTCGGCCATCAGAATGCCTCTCCTGACTGAGCTATTCGTGGTTTTCCTCAGCCCCTCCAGGCAAATTATTGGTGAGTACCTTTATTAAGCCATGGCCTCTCTCTATCTATGGCTCTACAGCCGTTTGTTGGGCCTTGGCCGCTTTTCACTTTCTTAATCATATACACTTTTAGAAGGACTCCTTGGAAGGGGATCAGCCCGTGGAAAGACTGCTATCTACACACAGGACAACACAAACACCGAAGAAACGCGGACAGACATCTCTTTGGAAATACATAAAAAACACTGAATTGGCATGAGGCCTGGAAGATGGATAATGTGGAGTGGATTCATCTGGCTGAGGATACAGGCTAGTTGTGGGTTCCTGTGAACATGATGATGGATCTTCGGAGCCGTAAAAAGACCCCAATTTCTTGACTGACTGAGCGACTGTTAGCTTCTCAAGCAGGACTCTACTGCACGAGAATTGTTATCAGCTGCTGAGGTTACCATATGTGTAATGAGGAGGAAGGGATATGAAAGGAATGGGACGTGGCCTACTTTAAGCCATTCGTCTGGAAGTACTGCTATTTAAAACAAAAGTCGAATTTCGAAGGCATCACCTCACAAATTCGCGGCGCAGTGTTCCCGTGTTTTACTATCGATTGGGCTAGGTACTTACGAACTGCCCTGTAGTCACCTGGCGGATCTTTGTGTCACGCGCTGCAGCGCTTATCGCGGGCTTGTAATGGGTCATAATTCCTCTTGATGATCTGTGTTCGCGGTAAGGAGGGACTTGACAGGCGTGATTACGTCACGCACGTGTTCGGTGTGCAGCTCTCACCGCTCCGTGTCTCCTGAAATAAGTGCTGCACGCAGAAATGGGGTTCCAAAGGACTGAACATCATCTGTCGGTCAGTCGGATAAATTGCTGTTGGTCTTCGCCAGCACAGTCACTCATGGTTCCGAGTCTCGCGGACCTCACGATGCTATATTACTGTCTGAGAGTCCTGTAGCTCTCCTACATTGTTGTCACTCATCATCAAGGCCAAGGTCTGCACACTTCTGTCCGTTCCGTGCCTCTGTAACAGTGGTTCCCAGTGTGGACTGTACTGCCCCCTGGGGGGCGCTATGGGGCAAGGTGGCAGCAGGGGAGACGCTGAAGGTTATTTGCGATTGAAGTGACTTTAAACCAGACACTGGGAAACTGGTATCACTTCATCAAGCCCTTCCATCGCATTAAGAATTTGCTAACAGTAACGGCTGTAGTATATTTGTTTATCTCGCGGTCGTTGCATAGTAACGGCTCTACACGCTACATTATGAATAAATGTTACACGTCCCTCAATTTCCAGAAATGAAATAATTTGCACCTAGCCATATCCCCCATTCAATACCTGACACGTACCCTAGATGAAGTGCTGGTAATCACCTACCAGACTGAACGGTCTCATAACCGACATGACAATATGAATCTTTATCGCAGTGACCTAAAATCATATACCGGAATAATAAGACTGGTTCTCGGGCTAGCACAAGCTCTATGCTTGTATTCGGGAAGGACAGGTATCCTGGAGGTCTGCGTGGTTTTATTCAGCCTTTCCTAGAAAAGCCTGGGATGGTACCTCGAGTAAGTGTCGCTATGTAACCCACACCGGTGCCCTTAATAACGTGTTAGGACTGAAAAATCATCTGTGTGTGCTGTTCGTAAGCTGCTTCCGTGTGATGCATGCTGAGAAGTTCGCCAAGGCTATTCAGAGCACACGCCACACTTTTGGTTACACATGCCTGAAGGAGCGCTGCCTTTTGTTTCATCATTTGTTGTTTCAGAACGTGACAAGAGCCAAACTGTACAAACGCTGATTATTCGGAAGGAGAGCAAAGCAACAAGGACTGGACACCTTCAGTCAATATTCTGCAGGCCTGAGACGTTTTCTTAATGTAACCCTTTACATTTAAAGCCCACCCAACAGTAACTCTAACGTAGTGTTGCGTTTTGTCTACGGAATGTGTTCCTGTGTCCCGTATGGATCTCACAATAAACCGCACTAAACCGGTTGGGCATTGTAGCGGTGACGAAATGTTTCCTGTGAGGTACGGACTGAATCTTTATATATTCAGGAGAACTGATCATGAGGTACATATTTCACTTAACATGTTAAAACTCTGCATTCAGCCCACACAGTGTATGTGTATGTTCCGTATGGTTCTCACATTAAACAGCGATCGTTTCCCTACACGGAATTAAGCTGCTGGGCTCCGTATTGCGGATAGGATGTTTACGGCGAGGTAGGACGTAAAATTTTAAATAATTTATCAGCGGTTCCCAAACTTTTTTCTCAAGATGCCCCCCTAAGGCCCCCCCCACATTTATTATTGAGATAAACATAACCATTTTCACTAATATTCAAACTATTTCATATGGTCAATTAACTCGTAATTAGCGCCATAACAAAACTGTGAGTAAGAAGAACTCAAAATTGTGATATGGAAATGCACGGTGCCCATTTGTCTGGCGATGTCCACAATTGTTTCTTAATGTCTGGATCAGCAACTCTTGACAGTTGCTTGCGGAAGACAAAAAGGAGTATTTCAGCTAAATATGAAATAGAAATTGATTATTCTCACGTCCTCACATCACTCCCTGGAGCCTCCACATTCGCCCGCCCCCCAAGGGATAGGGCACCCCTCCAGGCTGGTAACAGCTGATTCGTATGAACTTCTTGCTTCAAATGGGTCAATTCTATCTCCTTATAACTGTGTGGTAAGACCGCGCCATAGCTCAAGCAGGTTAGTCGCTGGCCTACCACCGCGACGGCCAGGGTTCGATCCCGGGTCTGGTCAAGTGGGATTTGTGGTGGACAAAGTGACGCTGGGGCAGGTTTTCTCCGAGTATTTCGGTTATCCCTGCCAATCTTCATTCCACCAATTGCTCCACAATCACCCTCACCTATCATCTGGGGCTGGTACAATAGGCCAGAAGTGGCCGCAGTACAAGGGACTTAGTCCCACCCCTCTAGCAATAAGAAAGCTGTGCGGTAACTACACAAACTGCACTGTCCGCAGTAACGTACAGTACCCCAGCAGTTCGCGGGGAGTGCACATGTTTGTGGGACGACGGTAATTCCCAGCATTTTATGGAACCCAAAGGTTCATTACAGTCTTCACAAGAGCCCTCCACTGGTCCCTATCCTAAGCGAGATCTATCCAATCCATACCATCCCATCCTATCTCTCTAAGATCAATTTTAAAATATTGTCCACCCACCTACGCCTTGGTCTTCCGTGTGGTCCCTTTCCTTCTGGCTTTCCCACCAATATCCTATACGCATTCCGCGTCTTCCCCACTCGTGCTACATGACCTGCCAACCTCATCCTCATTGACTTGATCATTCTAATTACACTTGGAGAAGAGTACAAGTTATGAAGTTCCTCATGAAAATTGCATTGATGAAGAAATTAAAGCAGACTGAATTCGGAGAGTGTCCGCTGCTTTTCAGTTGAGAAACTTTTGTTTTCTAGTGTACCACCTGAAAACGTATAGACTAAATAATACAAACCGCAAATTTACTTGTTTTGTGTGTGTGTCTTCCGTCCTAAGGCAAAAGCACCGACTCAGGGTGTCTGAGAACAGCGCGTTCGGAGGAATATCAGAATGCGAGAAGAAGAAAGTAAATAAGGACGTGTAGGAAAGCATCATCGGTGTTCGTCACCAAATATTACTAGGATCATCACGAACAGGAATA